CTCTCTCTCTCTCTCTCTCTCTCTCTCTCTCTCTCTCTCTCTCGCTCTCTCCGCAGAGGGAGGAGTATCGGACTCCACGTGCTAATACTATGCATGCCTGTATAGTATTATATCGTACGCTGGCGAGAGAGCGAGAGAGAGAGAGAGAGAGAGAGATAGTGAGAGAGAGAGAGGGCTCTGTTGCGAGTCGGTTCCCACAAGTGTCGGTTGTCACTGTACGATTTTGCGAGGGCAGCTAAAACGGGAGCGAAAGGTTCACGTCCCCGCTGGAAATCTTACTCCTGCGCCTGCCTTAAGACCTTTAAAAGCCTTAAGAGCCCTAACACGTGAGCTTACACGTCACAGAAAATTTCATTCCTGTCCAATCGTTTGGAAAATTACATTGCGTGTTGGTGCAAAATGATAGTACGCGATGTAGATAATCTACAAAATAATACATTTCCAGTAAAAAAACATCATCGGACATACCAGAATGTCTTACATATATACTGAGGCGTTTCAACGGGGCGGAGTTTCATTTTTGTTAATATTTACGGGTGACGGGGTCTGACATGTTTTATGACGGAATAAACAACTTATGTTACGCAAGATTGGCTCAATTACTGTATTTCATTAATATATTAGCAATAATTAGCATAATCTATATAAGGAAATTAGTAGACGTTTGAGACGGAAACTTCAAACTGTTGGTGTCGTAAAAGTTTTAATGCGGCTCATGCGATACAAGTACTGCTACGCATGTGGTGTTGCACTACTCAACAGGAACATAATCCATGGTCTCCCAACGAAATATAAATCTATGTAGAATACGTAATCCCATACACGAAAGGAGAATGGACTCCATTTTGTGGAAATTACACGCTATCGAAATATAAATCCGCGATGAACCGTCCAGGGTTATTAATCTCTAATAAGTAGTGAAAGAAGAGACGTGCGGTATATGGGGGAATGCACCATAGAAGGGACGTACCTCTTGATATCTACAAAAGTAGATAATAACACAAGAGTTACACACCAGATTCCCGCATTTTTAACCGATTGTTTTCATTCAAATTTGCCCCCAATAAAGAAGCAAGTGTATACGTTCCTCAGCTTATTATGACCACTAATCACTCACCTTCGTGGTACTGATATTCGTTTACATTATTATATTTGCTAGCGTATTGCTGTAAATCGTAATCTTACACGAGCTGAATTCGCACAATTTACCGCTATTGCATGTGTAGAGGTGTTAAGCCAAAATTTGAAGCTATAGTGGTGCCAATATTTAGCAACGGACTGTTTCCAAATCATTCGTGCCCCGATAGGGTTGAGAGACAATCTAAATTTCGAATTTTGATCTCGTGAAGAACCGCGAGACGCGCTCAGTTATTGTGATCGCAACACAAGAAATTGACATATTACTATCTTACTGTTACATAAGTAATAATACAATAATAACAATATTCTCTGTAGTAGTTTGCAGTAAGTATTACATTACGCACGCGCAGGTAATCAAGTACATTAAACTCCTATCGGTGCACGAATGATTTGGAAACAGTACGTCCGTTGCTAAATATTGGCGCCACTATAGCTTCAAATTTGGGCTTAACGTACACCTCTACACAATAGCGGTAAATTGTTCGAATTCAGCTCGTGCAAGATTACGATTTACAGCAATACGCTAGCAAATATATGTAAACGAATATCAGTACCACGAAGGTGAGTGATTAGTGGTCATAATAAGCTGAGGAACGTATACACTTGCTTCCTTATTGGTGGCAAATTTTGATGAGAAAATCGGTTAAAAATGCGGGAATCGAGTGTGTAACTCTTGTGTTATTATCTACTCTTGATATCGACCATGCTAGAATCTAAGTGAGATTACTAATAGTAGTACAGTTTACACTCTTACTTGATAGATTCGACAATAGGCAGGCATATGTTGTAGACGTGGGACGTGCTCTTCTCCTCCGTTTTCTCCCTCCCTCCCTCCCTTCTTCCTTCCCTATCTGGCTGTCTATTTGTTCCGCTGCCCGCTCGACCACCCGCCCAGCCTGCCCGCTGAGGACGCCCGACCGCCCGTCCGTCCATCTGTCTGTCTGTCTGTTTGTCTGTTTGTCTGTCTGTCCGTCCGTCCATCTGTCCGCCTGTCCGTCAGTCTGTATGTCTGTCTGTATGTCTGCCTTCCTGTTTCTCTCATGTGCGCGCTCTCTCGTGCGCAATCCCTCTCTCCACACACATACGTGCTCGCGAAACTTAAATTTGTACCTCACTTTGCCTACGCAGGCTATGGTGTCGATGGCTGCTAGACGTTATAGATCGTTTCGCCACCTTTCTGTGTTGGAAATGATAATAGTCCGGCATTATCTGAAACAATAACACGAAACGGTATCAATATCACGTGTAACGGTAACACAACGTGAGTCTATATTGCTAACAGTAACACAACATATATAACCGCGTATCAATATCGTGCGACCTGGCATGTGTGCGCAAGCTGCACACACCGAGTATCCACGCGTATAGTGTAAGTGCTGCTGCTACTGCTGCTGCTGCTGCTGCTGCTGCTGCTGTTGCTGCTGCTGCTGCTACTGTCACTGCTGCTGCTACTACTGCTGCTGCTGCTAATGTTGCTGCTGCTCTACTGCTACTGCTGCTGCTGCTGTTGCTGCTACTACTACTGCTGCTGCTGCTGCTACTGCTGCTCTACTGCTACTGCTGCTGCTGCTGCTGCTGCTGCTGCTGTTGCTGCTGCTACTGCTGCTGCTACTGCTACTGCTGCTGCTGCTGCTGTTGTTGTTGCTGCTACTGCTGCCACTGCTGCTGCTGATTATGATGATGATGATGTCGACGGCAACAGATGATACACGATGAAAAGGCCCCGGTTATTACGCGAGTAAATCCGCACGGGAGCTTCTGGATAACTAGATAACTACTACCAGCTACTAGTTTGGACAGAAGCGCGTATGTAGGTGTGTTTACGCATGTGGCATTTACTCGCCGTACGAAAAACATGCTGACGCAACGAGTATATTTGCTGAGGCACGATCAATCGGCCAGTTAATTTCCACCCGTGGTTGTTCACTGCTGTTTTGCTATATAGCATTGGAGAGTTTCAAATCGACCCGATATGTGAGAGCTGTAGCAACCCCACACGAACGATGCACCTCCACCAATATCTTTATATCCATCTCTCAGCGTGGAATAATTACTACAGGCAACCCCTTCCGCTTCCCCGGCAGCGAATATGTCGCATGAGGACGCGCGCCTCTTTAATATCTTTCAGAGCTTCTCTTGTGGCATTTTTATCAATCTTTTGCAGCCTTTCTTATGGGACTCTATCTTAATGTCAACGGACTATATAGGCCACTTGGCGAAGGAGCGAGTCTTAGAAAAGAATGCCGCGCAGTCCACGAGTATAGAAATTAGTCTCCTCTCCGGTGCAGTTCACTGCATTATCGATGAGCTAGCGGTGCGGGTACTTTTGAGAGGCTATTATCGATCCGCTGAACATACATTTTAGTTGGATAACGGGGCTATCGCCGCACATCGTGCCTGCGCCATACACAGTGCATAACTGACGCCAGTTTATCTGCACCTACACAGGCAGACAAATGTCAACATATAGTTTCAACAACCCGTTCACCGGTGATCGCCTGCACGGCTCGAGATTCCCGCCGCTCGCCAGACTATTGTTAGTAACAGTTAGTTTCACTTAACCGGGGCATTATTATACTTGATCTGAAGTTGTGAGATTGTGTGCTTCATGGCCAGTGCGGCGCATCATGCACATCAGCGCACAGCATCTACAGCACAAGCTGACCCCACACGCTGCGATGTTCTACCGCCCTTCTTCCTCCCCAGCGGACACAAGTAGTAATTCTCCACGGGCCATGTGCGTAGTCGTGGCGCGTTCAATGTAGCGGTGCATGCGTCATGTGCGCGTGCGTTCAAGCTGGTCATAGCAGAGCTCTGTAGCCTTACTAATTACGACCTTCCGCGCTGGACGCTTGCCGGCCTTTTCCACAGCAATGCGAGCCGCACAAGCACGTTGTAACGTTCCGTAGTGTCTACTCTCCGTACAGCGCGAATCGCGAGGGAAATCACGAAATGCGACCGTGATATATAGATATAATATATATATATACATATATGCGCACATATAACGCAGTTAATTGACCAACTGCAGTTGCGTATATAAGAATGAAAGGGTGTGGGTGTATTAAAGTATTATTAATAATAATAGCATTCTGTGAAGATTCATAACGCAAAAAACCACGGGATAGCTAGAGGGCGAGTCAAAGTATAGCGAGTACATCAGCCGTGAGCATACATGCTTGAAGTAAAGGTTGGGGGAAACATTCACGAGGGAGGCTGATAACGGTCGTACCTCTGAGAATACCATACATATTTCATCGCTTCAAAAACTCTTTAGCATGCCCGAAAATGTATTCTACTTTACCGCTGAGGTGAATTACTCGCCTGGATTGCATCACTAAACTTTCAAGTAAATTTGATATAAGCTAAGACGGCAGCGATATATAATATATATAAAGGCAATTTGCACGCGCATGGCACAGTGTAATACGTCTAATATTCTAACACGTAAGTGTACGACAACCATTCGCGAGCGTTCGACTTTTCCTACATGCATTGCTACAAACGCGTTTCTGGTTTCAATACCAACGCATACAATGTGCATATAATATAATATAATATAATATAATATGTTTTCAACAACTATCGTTTTTAACGGCAGAACTATATACTGTAATCCGCATATTTAGACAACTTATCGTGGATGATATTTATCAAATAGGTGTACAAAACACAATGTATGAGTGTGCGTCCACGTGTGTGCGTGCCTGTGAGAGTATGCGTTTGCATGTGCGTCCGTCCGCTCTATGTGGGGGCATTTCTACAGATTTTCAGGAAGTCAGTCTCGCTGCATGCATTTCGGGTTTTATTACGATCGAATCTTCACAATAATATTAATCGCTCTGCTGATTTAAGCCGTTTCCTTTTTTAATATTTCATTGGAAACGTAATACGAAATATTACGCCCGTGGCCATATAAAATGTACTTCTATACCGGTTTCGCATAACAAAATGAACAATGCCGTTGCCTTTCTTCTTATTATCTAGCATCCTATAAAATATTCACTGGAAAAGAACACGAAGAATTCTGTACACGCACGAGCGTCACTTAACACCGCATACTTCACATATATATTTAGTTTCTCGGTATTTAATGCGCTTGTGCGCGTGTGTCCGTGTGTGTGTGCGTGCGTCCGTCCGTGCGTCCGTGCGTGCGTACGTGCGTGGGTGCGTGCGTGCGCGCGCGCGTGTGCGCGTGTACGTGTGTGCGATATACACTGCGCATTTTTACCATATCTCATAGAGTTAAACACTCGATGAAACAAATCATCGACGACAGACAGTCGAACAAACGACACTGTCGTAAAGCACTCATGCCTGAACATTACGATCATCAATTCATGCCGGAATATGGTTTACACGAAACTGGATTGATTAGTATGATGACGGTCGGGTTACAGGCTGGTGTTGTATATATACGCTACAGTAAGAAAACTTAGATATATTAATCACCATCTGTTCATACCTTTTATAAGTACGCGGCCTAACCCCAACGCGCGTCCGCACGTAATCGCGCGGTATTGTCCGGGCTACTAGCGAACAGTACAATAACAACAAACAATAACATTAATACAACACGAAAACAACAATTTACCAGCGCCACGTTATACAGAGGTTGACGACAATAATCGCCGTGGGTTTTCACCACCACATCAACGGCAAACTGGCTCACCTTCCCTGTGCTGCGTACGCAACTTATCAGCAAATATAGAAGATATTCCCAGTGGCACTTCCTCGCAACGAGAGTAAATGAGAGCTGTTCTAGCGCATCTATTGAATGCTGGCGAACGCAAACACGCAACACCTCCTCGTCCAATTTCACATCGTTGAAGTTCTACGTGGCATTTCATGACCGCAGATCAAACGAAGATATCGAGATTATTACGCGCGGAAGTTAGCGCCACGACTGGTTTACTACACGGCCGCCGATGCGCATGCAATCTGATCACAAAACGCTGATAATATTACCAGTTACAGGTAGTTGTTGTCATATACGTCATGTAAGCTGTATATAGAATTTACGCCGCTCAAACAGAAAATCCAATCGCATCGTGACAGCGATCTTAGTTTTAGAAGAGTTCAACGTACCTTCAGATTAACGAGCTCGATCATATAACTACAGTGAAGTGAATCTAAGACGATCTGGGCTTTCCGCGTGCAACTATTCGTACACGGCACCTCGATAAAAACGCTTGCTCTCACGCCTTCTATTCATTAGGCTCGTGCATGTTAGCCATCCCCTAAAGAGTACCAGCATACATAGAGTACACATGTATAGAAGTCGTAAAACTACACTAAACTGCTTCACGCCGTGTTCCACTATAAGGAAAACAGTAATGAACACAGGCATGGTTAGTCAAACGACCTTCGATCAGTCTATGTATCACTAGCAGTTTTTCGACAGTTGAAATCGAAGAAAAATATTTTTTTCTTCTGTGTTGTTTTATTCAGGGTTCGAACCTCAAAAATCGTCATCACATAATTATATTCAGTATTTTATAGATATATAACAGATATAGATATATTCAGTAGCACGCGAGTGTAAATTTCTCTCTTTCCTTTCGACTTCGCTGTTCTAGAGCTGGACGATATCGAGATGCCTGAAATTCTGCAGTCTTGCGATGCATCTCGAATAAAAGATGACGCGCGTGGCCTCGTATCGATCCGGGGGAACGGATTATACGAGTGCTCGTCTGCCATTGTTACTCCTGTTATTACGCTTTAGCAAAGTGTTTTGCCTCGCTATGAGCCTGTCAGTGCGCGCCGGGCGAGCGACTCCCCGTGCCGATAATATCGCTGTTATTGAGCTAAATATTCCCGACTTGTAGGTTACGGGAATTAGGTTCTATCTGCATATTATTCACTTCACATTTTTATGCTGATTTCATGAATATATTCCAGTACAAATTATATATACACACACATATATATGCTTATATGCATATGCATCAGGAGTTAATAATGAAAAGTTTGTCATTATTAACTCCTGATATGCATGTATATATCATGCATATATATATATATATGTGTGTGTGTGTGTGTGTGTGTGTGTGTGTGTGTGTGTGTGTGTGTGTGTGTGTGTGTGTGTGTGTGTGT